AGCTAATATTTATGTACAAAATATTAAGATATATGAATAAAGATATAGTCATACTTAAACAAGGTGATATTTTTAAGATAATATAATAGAATATAGTTTTTCAATTTATTTTCGTAAGTTCTGGTTTATTGTCAAATATCAGAGATGAGAATTAATCAGATTTTATTTTATTCTTTTTTTACATTCGTGCATGACTATACACAATTGTATATTGACACCAGAATACTTTTATGCAGAAATATTTAAATAACAGCATTACATGAACTTGAATGTTTAACAAATTAAAAATCTATAATTTATGATTTAAGAACATCCAGGATATGGATCTCTTCTGTTCGTTCTTAAAATAAATTTAATTTTCCTGTTCATATCCTCATTATAGATAGCCCTACATTTCTCATAATTTACTCTCCGCCTTGTTTGTGAAGGTATTTCATGAAATCTAGTATGCCTATATTGATCAAGGATTTTTTCACTTGTCAATATACGATTTAGACATCGGTAAGCTTTATCAACATTGCCATCTGTAACCAGAACAGTCCTAGCAATAAATTGGGCATGCCGTCTTGTTGCCATCTGAAATCAAAATACACATGTATATTGCAATTCCATTTCAAAATATGAAAATTAAATTTTCAAGTAGAGAATAAGTAGTTAAATCATTATTTTAAGTTGATTTAACTGTATCTATAACATAATGTATTCCTTTTTGTAATATTTGTATGAGTAATATTTGTTTGAAGTACATTTATAGGTTATGTGTACTCCGAAAACATTATGAAATATATGCAGTTTTTTAACTTCGTCATTTCAATTACTGGAAATACTAGTTAATAATAAATTATTTGCTATACCTTGTATTAGAAAAGAGTAAGTAATTCTATGAATTATAATCAATATTTACAGTACCACACAAGTCACAATATCGAACGAGTACTCTTCTTTTGAGCAATTGAGCATAGATCAATAGACTTTATGGTCAATGAGTGCGCATGCTTGAAAAAAACTGAATAATCATATGTCGGCAAATTGTGTATCGTATGTCGATAAACCGTGTATCACATATATCGATAAATTTAATTATAATTATAATAAATTACTTTTCGAGTCTCCGAAAATTCTTTTTATGAACATTGTTTTAGGCAAAAGAAAGATTTAAACAACATTAAAACATAAATGTTTTCGGAATCATTTAAAGCATCAAATAGCTCTTAAATTGTTTAAAGAAAAGCACTAATGAATTTCATTGTAAGAAACTGAAATTGAAATGAACTGTTTAATCCTTTTTGATCTTTTAATTTTACAAATTATCTATTATCAATAAACTTATACATTAAACTATCTTTAGAAATAAAAATGGGAAAGAATAATCTCTTAAAACATACCTGTAGTAATTCATCGTATTTACCTGTTGTAATTAATCGAAATTAATTTTTCATCGCTTGTGCAGAATTACAGTAAAATTGTATGTGTCCCAAAAAAAGCATATTTAATAAGCTAATGACGATAAAATATAGGATCAGGCAGGAAAGAATCTAGACACGTAAACAAATTAATAGAATATTTATGATATACAGGATGGATCACCATATATTGCTAAGTAGATTTACATCATTATTAGTACGCGCATTAATGTCTTTTTAAATGGAATTATATATTTTTTATTGCATCAATTAATGCATCTTGATATTCTTTACAAAAAAGTATGTGAACGTATTTGTGTTAAAAAATCATTAGTTTAGGAGATATGTTAATTTGAATGTTGTTATAGCAAACGTTATCGATGCAGAAAGTGTCGCGTATAATGTAAATAGTTATCACCCTGAATTCATAACATTCTTGAGATTATGATTTTTTGAAAACATTAAAATTAGCATATCTCCTAAATTATTGATTTTTTAATATAAATCGGTTAAAAAAAAAAATACTTTTTTATTCTGATCTAATGAATGATATGTAATTTCATTTTTAAAAATATTAATATCCTTCATATGTCCTCTACACGCCCACCTACAAGAAAACTAATAGTATCATCAGAAAGTGCCTCTTTCGAAACCATTTAATTTCATCTGACAATGAATGGCAATATGTGATGACCCTCCCTGTACGTATGTATATGCATTCATACATAGCGAATGAAATTTATTTATTAAGAGTATTTAT